GGTCATACTGACCCCAAAGACCAGATTTGTAAACAGGAAATGAGGGACATTTGAGGGTTAAGCAATTTTTGGACAGATTTATTGACGTGTGAATTATTTAGTGGCGGCTGCAAATTCTATTAAGGGCTTGATTACTTGTTTTTGCCTTATGTAAATCTAAATTTAGTCAAGACAATGGAGCAAACAATATAAAACTGACAAAAATAATGAAATTAAAAATGAAAAAAAAAAAAAAAAACTTTTACAGAACACTAAAGTGTGAATCCTTGTGTCTTTACGTCCCCAATCGTAACGGAGCTAAATTAGGCAGATTAGGCAACAGACTATTGATTCCTGACAATTCCATTGCTTCTCTTCTAACACATAGCATAATAATCAGAATTTGTGTGTGCTTACTTACATTGAAAATGTGACATTTAAAATAATTAGGCAAGTTTGCTTATTTGCCAAATCAGATTGAGAGGCAATTAAACTCAATAACAGACGTTATGAAGTGGCAACATGGGACTTGATTTCAGAGGAACACATGACAGATGCTTTTAAACAACTGGAAACGTATTGTAAACTTAAGCACTAATAAGAATTGATATCCTCTAAACACATTAAACTATTCTGTTACACAGTGGGTTTCAGAACTGATGCTCTAGTAAGCGTCTTGTGCATCTTCTGTGTACTGCAGTTGTATACATGTAGTGTCTGTCTTCCAACAGTACAACTTTACACACAAAGATGATCAGATAAGCATGAATTACATTATCATTTTGTTTTATAATCACTAAACTGTAATAGGGCCAAAGATGAATTATTATAGGATCGTTCAGCCAAAAGCACTGTTTACAACTTAAGTGTATTTTTTTTACATAGTCATTTGGCTGCACTGCAAGCATGCAGCAATAGCTTTATAGCCTTCTTAATAAAATACAGCCAAAGACAAAGCATTTTCAGTCTTTATACACTAGGTGTATATTAACATTTTTAAAGTCATTACATGTATGAGTGCTGACAGAGTTTTAGATATTTGAAATACACATGTGGGAAAAAAAAATTGAAAATGAGTCATTACGGCAAACAAAAACAGTTGTAATATCATCACTGTGACCTTTTCCGCCTTTTTTTTTTAACAGGACAGGGCGCGAACATTTGTGACTTGAGTGTGCAAGACTTCCGGTCTCCTCCGCTTCCAGTTATGTTAGCTTTACAAAAGCAGTCCTTTATTCTGCTTGATACTGCAAAGTGGTATTTGTTTTCATATTATGATAATTTATTTATTTAATCTTTTGAATCCATGTCTACGCCAGGTGTGGTCCACCCTAAGAGCTCTCTCACTTTCTTTCACATTTTTAGGCTCACATAATTGCATTGGACAAAAGTGAAATTCACTAGTCAAAAAGACCTATTCATAGTGTATTTATGATACATAACATCACCAAATATGCTGAGATTTGCACACAGTTTCACAAATAAGAAATGTATGACTGAAATGCAAAATGGGAAAAAGAAATGTATAGAGAAAGCCTTGATACAGCTACAGCAGACAGAAACGCATCACGCAGCATAACAGGATTACAGTTAATCTGATGTTGAGCTCCACCCCTCCACATCTGCACTGTAAAAATTACTGTGAATTTGAAAGACTGTAAAAATGCTACAGTAAAAACCTGTTAAATGGTTAACGGTAAATTCCACTACTATATACGGTGAAAAACCTTATTGGACATTACATGTATTGGAAATTAATTTTACGGTAGTATACCGTTTTTGGAAGTGAAAAAGACCGTATAATTTACAGTGAATAACCGTAAATTGACATTCCCAGAATTCCCTGCGTTACATTTCAAATTTGATGTTTTTTTGTTGAAATAACTATGTTTCTTAGTTTTTTCTTATCAGTTTTGTATATTAGGGTTGTGTGTTACACCTAATGTTGTTAAATAAATGTTTATTGCATTATTTCAGTTTAATGTGTGTTACCATGATGGTGTTT